ATGATTAGCCAAGCAGTGTTTTAATTAATACAGTTTCTGTGTGATTATTTCAGGTCTGGGTGGCCGGGATAGAGTGAGAAGTCTCCACCTACAATTTCTGAGTTTTTCAGAAGTGGGTTACAGGACTGATCAGGCAGAAGTAATGGAAGATGGGTAGCACAAGCCATCCACAGAAAAAAACATGAAGACAAGATGAAGGGGACAGAAGTAATGCAGTCAATAAAGGCATCACAATTCTGATGCCACTCCAGAGATAAGTCTCAGGAAATGAATAAGAATTCAGCCTCCCTATAGAAGCACTGTACATGGAATTTAATATAATTTCATTTAACTTCAAAACACATGGACTTGCTTAGACTTCACGCAGAAATGAACAAAGGGAATCATAGGGAAGGAGGTTTAAGTGGGGAAGAGAGATGGTAGGGGAGGACAAGGAAGGATTTGGGAAACAAATAATTAACACTGAGGACGTTTGTTAAAACCAGAAGGAAACTATCATTTTATAAGATTCCTAAAAGTAATCTTATAAAAGAATTTAATTGGATGGGGCTAGAAAGATGGCTCAGAGGATAAGTGCACTTGTTCTTGCAGAGGAGCTGGGTGCAGTTTCCAGCAGTCACAACCATCAGTAACTCCAATTCCAGCATAGCATCTGATCTCCAAGGAAAGCATTTATACATATAAAATAAATAAGTCAAAACTTTTAAAAAGTTTAACTGGAGTTCTTCTATACATGAGATAAAGCTCCTCCTAGAAGTCACAGGTTGCCAACTAGAAAGCCCAGTGCCAGGGGTGAGATACCTCCCCTCGTGGTTGGTCATGATTATCCCAGAGACCCTCCAACACAACACAAATTGTTGACATTGCTTGGTTGCCCATAGTACTTGATAGTAGGCCCTATTGCTCAACATAGCAAACCCTTTGGTCACAGGGCATGAAAAATCAGCTGCCCCAAGCAAAAACTTCCTACCATGGCTAGATTTCATAGTAGTAGAAGGTGTTATGTAGACTGCGAGGGAGAAAAATTACCATTTTTACCCAGCCTGAAACTCTATGAGCTCAAGTAACAACCTGTGGGGCAACATATGGCATTAGTAGCATAAATGTTATATGAGTAATTACAGCTTCCTGACTGTATTTACAGGCTATCTCATAGGGTGAAAGTATCTCACCAGTACTGTAAATCTTGTGCAAGAATAAGGATGATGATAATAATAAGAATAATAAAGCCTATGTACTAGAGGCTATTATTTTGCTAAACAAATACAGTATCCAACTATCCTGTAAATTCACATCTCTAAGCTATAGAGTAGTGCAGCTCTCAGATTATACCCAGAGAAGTTTCAGAGCCAGAAGTCAAGGAAGATCAGAGCAAAACTATGTCTTCTAGATATGATAGGACTGTGGTCCTCTTGAACTCAAGAGCCGCTGTGGTTGCCTGCTACAAGATCAAGCCTGTCAACATTCCACTACAGAGCAGGGAGGAGCTCATGAGCACCACTCCTAGCTGAGAAGCTATTAGAGGTTAATGGCTTCTGGAAGCGGGAGACTCAGTTTTCTCTAAGGGTATAGCCTCTGGCATGTTAAATATGCTCCAGTGGATATCCCAAGAGTATATGGGCAGCACAGATAAGATAATGGGTAATTTTTTTAAAAGAGGACACAGGAGGGGGTGGAGAAGTGAGGGCTGATCTGAGAAGAGGTGGGGAGAGGAGTGGGAGGTGCTTATGATCAAAATATAGTGTATGTATATAAAGTTGTCAAAGAAATAACAAAAATATTATAGGTACATGTGTATATATATAATGTATATTCATATATGTATATATATGAATACATGCACAGAAATGTGTGTGTGTGTGTGTGAGAGAGAGAGAGAGAGAGAGAAAGAGAGAGAGAGAGAGAGAGAGAGAGAGAGAGAGAGAGAGAGAGAGAGAATGATGTGCAATCCACGGGGTGGAAGAACAGAACACTACTCATTGCCTTATTGGGCATCCAAGGAAGGTAGCCTATGGCTGAGTAACTTATGTGGGAAAAGCTCGCAGTGACCACCATAGGAAGTCAGTGCATGTGGCAATGTCTAAGAGATGCTGTCACTTTAGTTGAAATCTGGATCTTGTCCTCTGGATCCATGTGGGTAAAGGGAGAGTCAGAGTTATCAACTACAACAAAAGAGTGTTCTGATTTTCTCCTTGTCTAAATATCAGGTAAACTCAACTGAAATGAATAATGAAGATATTTATACCCTTGCCTTCATTTTTGTAAATTCTAGGACTCCCAGGGTAACTGAATCATTCAGGGGCTTTCCATCTCCAGTTTGGGAGGAGGCATAGTGACTCCTGATAACATGGGATAAACTTCTTACCTTTAGAAAGATCCCTCCATTGTTGAAAAGTATTAAATTTATGTTCCAGTTTAGGTTTTCCAATAAAATCCTTGTTTATATTTACAAGTCAACTGAATTATAAAACCAGATCTTCCTGCCAGTTCTATTATCTATTGAGAATATGATTACCATGCTCCTCAGATAAATGAACAACTGAATCCCACAAGTCCAGGCACAAGGACAACATTTAAGTTATTAACAACCAGTTCCAATAACCTGTTAGACTCCTAGAGTGTTTTCCTCTCTTACAATCTGCCAAGTTTTAACAAACTTCAGGATGCATAGGTTCTTCAGAGGCAGTAGTTCAGCCATGGTAGAAATCAGTTCAAGGGGGTTGACTACAAGGATGGCCCTGCTCCTCACACTGGCACATTAAAGAAATTCCAAATTAAAGGATTTGGGGATTTGCTTTCAAATAAGCTAGGAATGTAGATTTTCTGTAAGAATGGCCCCCATAGGCTCAAGGACTTGTATGACTGTCACTAGGGGATGGCAAATAAGAAGTGTTGCCTTGCTGGAGTGGGTAAGGCCTTGGTGGAAGAAGCAGGTGACTGGAAGTGGAGTTTGGTATTTCAAATGCTCAAGCCAGTCCCAGAGCCTCTCTCCCTGCTGCCTGCCTATCTGCATGCAGAACCCTCAGCTCCTTCTCCAGCACTAGTCTGCCTGCATGTCACCATGCTTACTGCCATGATGACAATGGACTAAACGTTTAGAACTGTAAGCCAGCCCCCAAATAAATGTTTCCCTTTTTAAAAAAGAACACATGTATTTCAGGAAGTGATAAATCCTGTATATCATATCCAACATGGAACAGGAAGAGCCAAGTGACACGTCTCAGAGAAGGACCTGGGATGAACGTCGGCTTCCCAAACAGTCCACAGTCCTGCATCTCACATCTTTTAGACACCACAATGCACCAACAATTGTGGGAAATTCAACTGAAAACCCAGTGGCTGTAGTTAGCTTCCTACTTCCGACCCTCCTCACCCCAACAACTTTCTTAGTCTAATGTCAGAGGCCAATAGCTGACTAGCCTGGGGGCATTCTGAATACAAGCCTGCTTTAGAATTTTGAGAAGTTTCAGCGCGCCTTTGTGAAGCAAAGGACAAAAATTAGGAAGATTCTAAGCATTCAGTTTTTGGCTAGATGAGTCCATTCGCAAGGACAAAAGGAGACAGTTCAGCAGCTCTAACAGTCTGCCAAGTGAAAGTTCTCATTAGTCACTTGAAAGGCTAGCCGAACCAATCAGCAGAGATGTCCTGAGAAAGGCAAGGCACCATTTTTACTTCCTTTCTCTAGAAGAGGAGAGATTCCTTTACAGTAAGAATAGGAATTACCATGATCCTGCCAGGAAACCTCCCTTAGAACTGCCCCACAAAATCTCACTACCTGGGAAAGCACTCGGGTTTGTCCTGTCACTGCCTCCTTCAAGTACAACCTCAAGTGAGCCTCGGGATCAGTTTTCTTAACTTGTCATCTGGTATACCCTGCTGCGCTAGGACCTACAACCGGAAGATAAGCACTTGCCTTTGCTGGCTTTCTGCCTCTCATGGAAAACATGCCACAAACTACCTACAGAAGGCTTGCTATCACCACAAGCAGTATTCATTTCTGGCCCACTAAGTTGGGGGATTTCTGATGGTATTTTAGAATACCGGAAGAATCCATCATATGAAATCAGTTTCTAGGCAGCACAATGATACCAAATTCAGCCAGAGGCATGAATCATTTCCTCTTAATTCCAAAATGACATCTCAGTAGATCAACTTTTCTCAAGAACAATGGGCAAAACATGATCGAAGGCTTTTACTACCTCAAAATCTTACATGCAATCTCCTTTACTTAATTAAAAGCCATGAGAATTCATTTGTTTAATAAAACCTATGAAGTACAGAACCAGACATCTGAACAATGGGCCCTTACAAGTCTTTAAGAGAGCTCTTGTTGGTTGAGATCTAGTTCTCTGGACTATGTTCCAGATTTCCATTTAAGATAGTTTCCACCAAGTATAGTACTACAATAGAAGGCCTTTCAGAAACCATCACACGTCTGTTCTGGAGTTCATCATCCTACGTGACTCAAACGGAGTGGAATGGGCAGTGGGCAGAGTGGGAAGCAAGGGGTGGGGAAAGGATTTACAAAACAGCAAACACATTTCAAAGTCATAGTTCAGCTTTCAGGACTGGTCTTTTCATTGTTCGGAGATACCAGAAAAGCAGGGTGCCATATTCTCAGGGTTTTGATATATGATCAGATCCGACCGAAATGATTTTCTTATTAATAGTGTCCTGCAAATTTTAACTTTTAGTTCCGTCAGTGAGTTTTTTAATCAACAATGCTATTTTCTGTGCTTAATGAGTCATGATTGAGTAAAGCACAAACATCACTCCTGTGCAATGAATAGACAGCAAGACTGGCTTTCTTCTATGTGCATTTGATCTAGTGTCTTTGACAAGCAAGATGACAAATGTCTCTGCATTTGTAGTCTTCCTTCCTGTTTTTTATCATGCTCTCTGATGAAAAATATTAAACATGATACTAATGCTGCATAATCTCATACTTTATAGTATACTTCCCTTTAAGAATCTAAATACTATAAAAATACAGATCCTACCTTTGAGGGAAGTCTTCTTACTTGATGATGTAAAATTTCTTTTTAATTCTTTAAGCCAAAGGTTGTCTTAGCATTGCTCTGTAAATTGAAGAGTAGAGGAAAATGTTAACTAGGCATCGGTTGTCATCAATCTTAGTGGACTGTCAATAAGTTAACGGAGTCCCTGATGGGACACACAATTGCAAAGAGAGACCTGCAAGGAAGACAAATTACGAATACATTTGCCAAAACATCTTTCTGCTGGTTTCTATCAAAAGTGACACTGGAGAGGTGACCTGGGTGACTATACATCACCTTAATGTATAGTCTGACCTGTTTCCAATTTGGAGAAAGAAGATTGTTTGGACAGATAGGCAGAAATACAGACAAGCAGACAGACAGACAAATATACATACATACATACATGTAAACACATTTGAGGTAAGGAAAACACTTTCTGGTTAGAAGCTTATGCTTGGTTCTTAGGCTTTCTAAGAAATTTGGGAACATAGAAATTTTTTTGCCTATATTTGTAGGCTCTACTTCTCAGTAAAGATCACCAAGAGCTGAGAACAGCTAGAATCTGAAGAGAAAATCCCACCTGCACCAATGCGAAAGCTGAGTCACAAGCCACCCCGGACTCTCCAGCCACAGCTCCTCTCCTCTGTAAACCTCAGCATTCCCTATGCAAACCTTCCAGAGAAGGGCTAGCCGGGAAAAGACACCCTGGATGGGAAGCAGAGCAATCGCACTGCGCACATCATATCTCATCCTTCAGTCAAGCCATTCAGTGCCACCCAAGGTTTTCTGAGGGAGCATTTGTATCTTTTTGGACTTGGTATTTTTGAAAACAGAACTCACACTATCAACCACTGAAAACATCTTTCAGAGAAGAGACACAAGAATCAATTCAGCCACCCTTTGCTGCATTCAAATGTTAGGACACCATGAACCACAAAATTACTCCAGAAATAAAGCAAAAAAGACATGTAGTGAGTTCAACTGCTTCAGATTAAGCATGGGTTATGAAATTTTATGCTTTAAGTAAAAAAAAAATTCCCTTATCTTAAATACATCTAAAACTATATGGAGTTTCCTTGCATCTAATGTATTATCTTCTTATCAGAACAAAACCTTTGTGTTCTGAAAGTCAGTGTTCTTTGGAATTAAAATCAGTTTTAAAGTAATAAAGATTTTTCTTTTCTAAACATTTGATTACTACTTAAAAAGGAATAAACCTCTAAAAGTGTGTACAAGAGAGTTCATAAAAATTTGAAGCTATGTCTACAGTAGCAGCTCAACAGATGCACTTGAGGACTTAATATGTACATGTTGCAATGGATAAATATTGAATGATAAAATAAATAAAATAAAACATAAGTAAGACAATTTTACTAGGAAGTTCAGTTTACATGTTGATGGGACTATAGCCTGAATTATCAGAGCCCACTATAAAATATAGTATTAGAGACTATTGTGAGCTTTCAGAGAAAGGAATATCTAATTCTACAAGGAAGTTATAAGATGGATTGGCACAGAAGGATTGCTGACTAGAACCTTAAAGATGAATAAGGAAAGCATTCTGGGTAGAGAGGACATCTATTTAAAGTAAATAGAAAGACAATGTGAGGAAAGTCTACCAAGAGAGCAGTGAAACATGAGGCACAGTGGGAAGGATGGTGAAGTGGTAGATACACACACACGCACACACACACACACAAGAGATTGGAAAAGGGTTCTAGATCCACAGAAATATGGCCAAGAGTGGCTTTCTAGATTCATGTTTCTCATGCGAGCCGCAGTACAGGGACGCATCTCCTGACTGTGCCGCCTGTAGGCTTGAGCAGGCAGCAGGCCATGAGCTAGGCTGTGAGGCAAGTTCCTGCCCTCAGTCTCTCACCCTGGCCACAGTGCAAAAAAGTATCTCCTGGCAACTGTCTGAAGGAGGGAGCCAGTTGCCAACACAGAGACAGAGGTTCTAGCCACACTGCTTAGCCGTCTAAGGCTTATGGGGGTCAGAAAAAGATTATAGATACACAAGAAAAATAGATTCTGAAAAAAAAAACAACGAAAACAAAACACAAAAACCTCTTAACAAGTTACAATGTGCTTCAATATACTTTGGGCTTGAGAGAGAAAAGAGAAAGTATATACAGTTCTAGATTTTAAAAGATAGTTAGATAGTTGTAAAATAATAAAGAAAATTCTTTAAATAGGGAGTAAAGTAATATTTAAAAACCCACATCTGGATTACTGTATGCTCTTGTGTTGTCTTTGACTTTTTTGGCTGCTGAGGAAAGAGCAACAGCTGCTCAGAGACATTCGATTATAAATGCTGCTGCATTAAACCGACCCATATGTTTTTAAAATGTTTTGACTTCAAAATGGAAGTAAAAAATAAGTTATTTTGGAAAAGAGATTCTGATTTTATTTCCACCGATAATAAAAGAGTGTGGATTCATTCAAAGTTAAAGATGACCGGGTTTATCAAGGAAACCCCCTTGAAATCCTGGCTACAGACATAGGGAAAAACAACAACAACAACAACAAAAACCTGTAAAACACATAATATTTTACCTGTTCAAACATAAAATAAAAAGCTCATCCTTGGCTGACTTGTGTATAGTGCAGTCTATACTTGTATACAGATATGTACATTGCTTTTAAAAGTTTATGTATTTTCAGAAAAAGGGTACCAGACACCAATAAAAACAGATGGCCCCAGTGATCTAGCATCCAAAACAGCTTCAAGACTGATGACTGAGATGATCCAATCTCACAAAATGCTACAGCCAAGACCTAAGAATTATCCTAAATTTTCTCAGGGTCCAAATATTACCAACACCAAACAGTAAGAAGTAGTCTAGAAAACAACGCCCACATTTCCAATATATTGGTTGTAAATGTTTGTTATTATATAAAGAGACTAGATAAAAGTTGTTATTGATACTGGTAAAAAAAAAATTAAACACAGGATATTAGACCTCAGAGATCTCATTATGAAAAGGAAAAAGGGGGGACATAAGAATGATAGGATAAAGGGTAGATTATTGAATCTAGTTTTAAACCCAAAAAAATTACTACAAGTCTTAAATATTTCACATTGATATGGATTTTGGTATATTGATACAGATTTAATTTTGCTGTACTACATGTATATTTCTACTCTTGTCTCAGGTGTTTTAGAGAAACAAAGATAAGATAAATAGAATATTTTCTCTAAATTTGCCAAATACAAATGGACTATATATTGTAACTATAATTCTTATTTACTATTTTGTTGTATACAATTTTACTATGTGAAAATTAAAACCTTCCTTTTAATTAGACAAAAAAATGGGAAATACTGTGGAATAATCCTTTTGTACACTGTAAAAATTTGTCATTTGAATTGGTTTAATAAAAAGCTGACTGGCCAGTAACTAGGCAGGAAGTATACGTGGAAAACCAAACTAGTAGGACACTGGGAGAAAGAAGGGCAGAGCCTAAATCACCAGCAGACACAGAGAGAAACAAGTTGGACATGTCACAGTGAGAAAAGGTACCAAGCCACATGGCAAAGCATGGATAAGAAATACGGGTTAACACAGATGGAAGAGTTAGTAACAAGCCTGGGCTATCGGACAAGCATTTATAATTAATATTAAACCTCTGTGTGTTTATTTGGGAGCTGCTGACAGGACAGAAACTTCTGCCTACATAGTTCTTTCTTTAAAATCTCAGAAATAAATTTTTGTGTATGCTAAAAATCAATAGAAACAGAAAGTTTGAAGTTGACTGATTTCTCTTTCTAAAGATCTTTATTCCAACTTCTAGCTTCCCTTCCCCCCATTGTGTTTAAAGCACTTATACCACATAGCTATGAAGAAATTGCTTAAAACCGAAACTCAGATAGCTCTGGGCTGTAGCTGAAAACTGGGGCATTAGCAATGAAAAGTATGTCAATAAAATTATGGCATTTTTTTAGATGTGCCACTTAACATCTAATGAGATGCTACTATAGCCCAGACTCAATCCACATAACAAGCTATATATCAATTCGGTATAACTGATATATCAATTCATATCCCTTTGGTACAGAGGCAAAATTCAAGAACAGAGGGATTAAGAGTTCTAGTCACATAGCTGGTCAGCAACACAACTGGAAAATAAAATATGTTCTCTCTGATCCCCAAACCTGTGGGGTTTTGTTTGTTTGTTTCCTATTTCACCTTGTAGTGTTCTAGACAAGACAAGGTTAAACTCAGTATTGCCACAGTTTCAGGAGAGGGCAGCAGAGGAGTTCATTGGTGTAGAACTGTAATCCTAGCTTTTGGGAGGCAGAGATAGGAGTTTTCAGAGAGTGGTAAAACCAAAACAGCATTAGAGGCAGTCAAGGCAGGAGAGTAAACTAAGTCAAAAGCTTCAGGAAGGCTTCAAATGTGTTTCCTCTGTGGCTGTCAGGGAGTAGGACGCAGTCCTGGCTGGGAGCTCCCTATACCATACTCCCACATTGGTGAGCTAGGGTTCAAAATCTGTGCAGTTATGCCATCATGTAGACTAAGGCTGAATCTCCATGGCTCCTATCACAAAGTCTTTCTTGGCTTTCCGACAACTAGACCTTACAAAAAAACATTACACAAAAGTATGTAAATGCTGCAGAATAAAGTAGGGAAGAAAATACCTTTGAATACAGATTTTAGGTGAGATGAGAAAGGAGTAAGATACTTTCGATAACATGTTAATTGTTATTTAAATACAATGCAGTCAAGGCAAGATGCTCTGACGGGAGCATATCTTCAGTCTTGCATAAGTGTGGTTCCAAGACAGTGTAGGGAAATGATTTTGTTCTCCTGACTGTGTATTACCAACAAAGATTCGCCACAACTCAAGACTGCCATAGCAATTTCAAGCCCTGAGCACCAACCACCAAAATAGCATGTATTAATTGTACTACCATGTCAACAATTATGGCAAACACTCCTAGGAAGTGAATTTTTGTTACATTCATTACTCTTGCAGTGACAACTGCACCCATGGCTTTCCTCGCTTAGAAATGCATTTAGGTCAGCAGAATAGGGTAATTCATCATCTCTGTGAACTATTTTACCAATAACCAA